ATTTGTGTAGATTGTACAGCTAACAAATACGAAGCTTTAAATAATTTCATTAGTTATAATTTCCAATACTGCTTGTAATCTGACGAAATGATTAATCATGTAGATGGGAGTACAACATCCACACAATCCATCATGGGCCCAAGTAGCTGGACCATAATAGTCAATTACTCTCTCTGAAGGCCAAACTGTAGCTCTCCAATCACTGATTTGTATATCCTTTTCTTAAGTCCATTGCTGGTTTGCTCCTCTCTAGGCTTATTATAAATAGGATTTCCCAAAGTCTTTCCCTGTCTTAAGGGTAACAGAATAATGGTTTAATACTACTTAACACACAAGCTCCTGTGCATTTTTCCGGTAACTGCTCGTAGGCTTGTCGACCACAGATCCAGTCGAGGCCTGCAGGTGCTTGCCACGAGTTCAGGGCCTCTAGTTGGTACCAAGAGTGGCTGAAAGAAGGGAACCTAGAAAATGGGTTAGGGCGAGATGGTTTTGAGCTGCCTTTACCTTCTCTATTTTCTTCTCACCATGAAGTTTTTCCTGTAACTTTATTATAGTACTGTTGCCCTAAACAAGCCAGTTCACCTGCAGGGTGTGTATAGGTGGCTCCCCAATGAGCTATACAGTATTTTTCAACAATGGAAGTCTTCAAGAGCCAAATACCAGAGGATCGCTGTACTCAACTTGGACCTTAGTGCCTATTGTCCAATTGGGTGAATTTGGATTTTGAACATCAAATTCAATGAAGCTACCGGAACTTCCTACTACACAGCTGTCATAGTTATACCATTCTATGGAGAGGTTTGTATATGTCCTTAGTCCATGGGGAATCACTAACCCAATACGCAGTCTGACTGGTGCAAATGAATGCATATAATATCCTTTATTTTTTGGAATTAGGAATATAACAAGAATGAGAGACACATGCTGACAATACTCCATTGCGAGGGTTGTTACAGCAGAGTGGATGCACTGTTAGTACCTTAGTTTTAAGAAGTGTTCTCGCCGGGCATGGTGGCGCGTGCCTGTAGTCTCAGCTACTTGGGAGGCTGAGGTGGGAGGATCGCTTGAGCCCAGGAGTTCTGGGCTGCAGTGCGCTATGCCGATAGGGTGTCCGCGCTAAGTTTAGCATCAATATGGTGACCTCCTAGGAGCGGGGAACCACCAGGTTGCCTAAGGAGGGGTGAACCGGCCCAGGTTGGAAACGGAGCAGGTCAAAACTCCCATGCTGATCAGTAGTGGGATCGTGCCTGTGAATAGCCACTGCACTCCAGCCTGGGCAACATAGTGAGACCCCCGTCTCTTTTATAAAAAAAAAAAAAAAAAAAAAGTGTTCTCATTATTTGGCAGACATCTAAATACAGATACATGCTGCCCTAATGAGAGGAGGGTACCCAAATGGAATTATAAAGAGTTCCCTTTCCAGACTTATCATGAAGTTTGAACCAGGTCCCAGGTAGAATTTTGGGGTCATAGCAGAAATAGGGTTGATTATCACCAAGATCACAGTAAGTAGTTTGGTTATACACACAAGTACCTAGGGGAGTTCCTTCACAACTATAATGGGTTTGATACACAAAGTTTTTACCTTCTGTGTTTCCTATTCATGTAGTATGTGTACACATAGGACATCTGTCCAAAGCTTCCCCCCTTTTTAAGTTTGCCATAGGGCTAACATGATTAAAATAGAAAGCAACATTTTTACACCAGGCATGGGCAAGGAATGTCCTTCAAGGAACAGCAACAATGACAACATAACAGCATAACAGTAAATATTACTAAAGTAGCACCAAGTATTAAGATTTCAGTCCAAATTTACTTATCTGACAAGGACTCCTCAGGCTTCAGCCATGTGTTGTACTTTTTTTTTTTTAATAACTGTACCTAAGTGCTGCATTTGTTTTTTTAATGTTAGTTCTCCTATTTCCTTGAGGTTGCCTTTTATTTGGGTAATTAGGGGAGGAGGTTTCCCGAACCAAATTTCGTGAGGTGAACACCTAGCTTTTCTGGTTGGGGTGCAGCTGACCTGAAGTAGGATCATGGGCAGTACCCGATTCCACCGTAAATGGGACTCTTGGCAGAATTTGTTTTAAACAGCTATTTTAAAGTCTGGTTTATTCATTACACCTTCACTGAGCCCTGGGGGTGGCAGGCAGTGTGTAATTTCCAATTAATTTTTAGTAGCTAAGAAAGACTCTGGACAACTTCAGCTACAAATACTGGCCCACTGTCAGACCCAAGAGTCAGAGGCAGCCCAAATCTAGAACTAATGTCTTTTAATAATACCTTGGTTACCTCCCCGGCCCTTTCAGTGCCAGTGGGAAAAGCTTCTACCCATCCAGAGTAGGTACAAGTGAACACAAGCATATACAGATAACACCCTGTCCAGGACATTTCGGTAAAGTCTAGGGGCAAGTTTTCACATGAGGTTGCTCCTACTTCTTGAATGCCTGGAGGCCAAACTGGCCCCTGCCCTGGGCTGCTCTGTGTACAAGTCAGGCATTTTCACAGACTGCACAAGTTACAGCAGTGAGATGTGGCACATGAAAATGCCATCTGATTAAAGCCTCCAAAGCAATTTCTCTCATATGTGTCCCTTCATGAAATTATGTTACAAACATATGAGCCATTACGTCAGGGATGGCTAGCCTCCCATCCAAGAATGATGACCAACCCCTTTTGATATACTGTCCTGCCTCCTAAGCAAACAAGGCTTTTTAAAAAAAAAAAAATTATTATTACTCTTTTTAGAGAAATAACCTGGTTTTCCCATAGGTAGGGGTTCTGGAAGCAGAGGCATCTCTAAAGCTTTGTTCTGTGGTGGGTGAGCTGTCATAGTGGCTGGCTTAGCCTCTCTATCTGCTTTTCTATTCCTTCTAGATTCGTAAGAACCATCTGCCCAATGTCCCTTGCAGTGCAACAAAGCTACCTTTTCTGGTGCCCATACAGCACCTAAGAGCTACAAAATTTCTTGTTTGTTCTTTATTTATTTTCCTGCTGCTGTGAGGAGCCCTATTTCCTTGTATATGTCTTTAAGGACATGTAGCACAGCAAAAGCATATTTGGAGTCAGTATAGATATTAATTACTTTTTCTTTTGCCAACAACAAGGCTCTTGTTTAAGCAATTAGCTCAGCCTTTCATGCTGATGTTAATCCAGATAAGGGCGATGCCTGTATTATTGAGCTTCCGCTGGGCCCAAAGTCATGTTACTATAGCATATCCTGCTTGGCGGATTCCTTCTGAAATAAAACTGCTGCCATCTGTGAAATAATCCACATCTGAGTCATGGAAAGACTGGTCAGTTAAATCTTTCTGGCTTGAGAATACCTCATCCACCACATCTGTGCACTAATTTGCGGGAGGTATTTCAGGCTCTTCTATGGGTAATAAAGTGGCTGGATTTAAGGTGTTTACTGTTTCCACAACTATGTTAGGGTTGTCACATAAGAGCCCTTGGTATCTGGTCATCCTTGGGTTAGCCAGTGGTGTCCTGTGTCGGTCTAGCAGGATAATTATGGTGTGTGGCACCTGGACAATTCATTTTTGCCCTAAAGTTAGCTTGCCAGCTTCCGGAACCAGGAGGGCTGTGGCTGTTACTGCTTTAAAACCACAGGGCCAACAGAATCCAATTGTTCAGAAAGATAGGCTGCAGGCCAGTGCCAAGACCCAAGCATTTGCATTAGGACTCCCACGGCCATTCCCCTTTCTTTTATTTGTGTATAAAAGGAAAGGTTCAGTTTGGTTAGGGAGTCCTAAGCCTGGGGCTTGAATTAATGCCCTTTTAATTCTTTGAAAGCTGTTGCTTGCTCTGTCTCGAGAGGAGGGGCTCTTTTTTACCTCCTTTCATAGCTTCTTATAGAGGCTTAGCCAAAAGTGAGAAATCTGGGCTTCAAATGCAGCAGATAGCAGTTGCATTGATAGAAGCTGTGAAGAGGGTGTTAGTTTAAGTAACAGGGCAGAAAAATGTAGATTAGAAGATGAGCTTGATAGAATGCAGCAGTAACAGGTTACAGGCAGAGGGAAAGAATAAAATACACAAATCTTAAGTAAGATTCACTTACCCTTTTGCATCGCCCTATTTAGCATTCCTTAGGTGAGGTCTGGGGCTTGTGTCCTAGGCTGGCTTGAGTTTTTCTTCTTTCCATTTTTTGTTGAAGGTATCCTCATTAAAGTTTCTTTGATGGTGCTAGTGTACTGGAAAGTCTAGCATTGATGCCTGTGCTAAGAGACATTTTATAATCTTTGTAAAAGAGCAGGTTAAAGCTTTAAGAAAAACTTGTTGCCAGTTTACAGAAAAACTGGATGACACTTCTTTAACTTTTAACCAATATGTTCACACACAGAACTACTTTTAAAATATTTTAAAACCTGCTTACACTGTAAAGCAAAATTCATACAACCTACTTGCATAATTCCCAACAGTGTTAACAACATTCACTGACAAACTGACATACTTAACTTTTTTCATTTTATAACCTTATTAAAGGTTCAATTTTATAACTTTGTTAATATTTATTAATCTCTCCTTTTTGTCTTACTTTCTGTTCCTTTCTTTCTTTGCCTTCCTTACTCTTTCTCTTTCTCCTTACTGATTTTTTTTTCTTCTATTTCTCTCTAATCTTTCTGTTTCTGTCTGTCTTAGATAAGCAGTGATTTTATCATTTGTAAATTTGTTTGAGCTGTGGGCTTGAGATTAGACTTAATTAAAGCTGTTTTAAGATTTTGTAATAAACTGAGTAAGCCAAGTCACTTACTATATTTATGTGCTGAGCAGAGAAAGGTTTACAGTATTACAGCTTCAATTTTAGCTCTTTGACTTATAGTAAACTTAGAATATGTAATTATGTCGTCTTTACTAGAATGCAGCTGTCCCTTTTTTACCTGACCTATTAATAAGCAGTGTTAAAGCATTAAACACAGAGAAGTGCAATACTGCCTTGAATTGCTCTTTCCTTAAAGGATGACAAGTTGAAATTAGTAACATGAAGTTTTCTGTTTTTGTTTTTGAGGAATTAACAGTCTTTATCGGGCTCAGACCAGGAGTCCATGGGTCTTGAGGACCTCTGTGTATTTGTCAATTTTCTTCTCCACGTTCTTCTCGGCTTGTGTCCGTAGCCTCATGAACTGTTTCTTCTTCCGGTAATGGATCTTGGCTTTCTCCTTCCTCTTCTCCTCCAGGTTGGCTGTCACTGCCTGGTACTTCCAACCAACCTCGTGAGCCAGGCGCCCCAGATAGGCAAACTTCCTTGTCTGCTTCAGACGCACGACCTTGAGGGCCGCAGGAAGCACCACTCGCTTTTTCTTGTCGTAGGGCGGTGGGAAGCCGTCAGACACCCTGAGGCGGTCCAAGGCGGCCTGGCCTCGCGCGGTCTTGTGCGGCAGCACGGCTCGCCCGGAACGCCAGAAGATGCGGCTGGGGGCCCGGAAGTGGTGGGGCCCGGAAGTGGTGGGGCTCGGAAGGGTTAGTGTTCATCCGCTTGCGGAGGAAAGCCAGGTACTTCAAGTTGTTTCTGTAGAAATTGCCAGAAATGTTGATGCCCTCGCAGCGAACGACCACCACCTTCCGACCCAGGAGTACCTGCTTAGCCACGATGGCTGCCAGGCGGCCCAGGAGATGGCCTCGACCATCGAGCACCAGGACCTGCACCTCCGCCATCTTTGGGAGCCGCCAGGGAAAGAGTAACATGAAGTTTTAAGAGGAAATCTGAAAATATTTTAGAAGCAGACTTAAATAATCTACTTTAACCATGTGCTTAAAGCCACAAGTAGAATACCTTAAATCTTGCAATTGAGTTTTCAGGCTGACCACATTATGGACCTTAAACTGGCAAACTGTTCTGAAAACAATGACCTACTAGCAGAGAGAAGACTACCTTAAATTCGTCTTTCATGCATGTGTTTTCACTATACTTACATGCAATGTTTACTTTTATTTTTTTACTTTCTGAGAATGAGCTTAACATTTTTATTTTTTAATTTAACTAATATTTAATTTGGTATAAAGTTCTCCTTTAAAGGGTAATATGTGGTTTTACAGGCTTCTCTTAATTGCTTTTTAACTAATTCGTGGGCCTCCTTTTATAGCTGACTGAAATTTATTATTTAATTTTTCAAAATTAAGGATAAATAATGCTTGTGCTAGTAGTGTTGCATTTTAAGATAGAAAACAGGACTTGCAACTCAATTAATTAGAAAATTCTTTTCTACTGAGGAGCAAAGCTATATGGCTGGCTTTTAATTGCTCCTTACTAATTTATAGGCTTTTAGTATATTTTTTAGAGGTTGCTGTTTTACTGAAATTGGATTTTAAAAGAGCCACGTTAAGAGTAGGATTGAAATAACAACAGTGGCTAATATCAGAAAAAAGGTTTTACAAACCTTAAATTTTACTTAAAACATGGCAGAGAATTTACAATATGGGATGCTGCATGTTTACAAAGAACAGATGAAATTTCACTATGTGACACCTGTGGAGAACAACATGTGGCGCTGCAGGTCCTGGGATGGCAGCTGGGCCGGCCCCGCCCTGGTGCTGCTGTTCCCCACCCGGGCAGAAGGCATGTCAGGAGAAACTTTCCTGCTAGAGCTTCCCCACCCCCAGCTTTTCTTTTTCTTTTTGGCTTGGCGGTGGCTCCAGACTGTAATACCTTTCCCTTTTTATAAACATACTCCTCATTGACTTACTATTAATTTCTGGGCAGGCTAAGAGTTCTGTAATAACTGCTTGAAGTATTCACTCTCTAAAGGCTTACATGATATAGCCTTTTTGATCTCTTTTGGGCCAGCTCCATCCTCTCTAATGGACCTGTGGCCCCTCACACTTCACTCCCCTCATTGGCTCCTCCTGGAGCCATCTATTTCACACACTTTCACACACTTCCCCCACCCCAAGACTCCTCATCAAACAAAACAAGCCTCTCTTGTGTCCCAGGTGGCTTCAAACGTACCTACACACTGACCTCCCCCACCAGGACTCACCAGATGAAATGAGCCTCTCTCATGTCCCAGGTGTGTTCACACGCACCCACACACCCTGACAGCAAGCTTTACCTCGCTGCAGGATTTGTGTCTGCCCTCTACAGCAGCCTCTGTTTTGTCTGCCCTCTACTACAGCCTCTCTGTTGTCTGTGTGGGAAGTAGAAAAGTTCCTTTTTGAAGTTTCCTTTCTTGTTAAAGAATAAGTGTGCTAATAACTCTTTGTTAAGCCCTATCTTATTTAGCTATTAAATATGCCATGTTTACAGGCAGATAGTACACTCTATGTCCTTGTACTTTAACCAAAATATTTGTACTGGATGGGCTCACAGACAGTTCACAGCTCTCTATTGCTTACACCTGTTTAGAAAAGTTTTGTTAGCCAACCAGGTTTTAGTTTAGATTGTGAGGTGTGGCTCCAGCCAATGGAGATCAGGCATGGTGGTAAGGATGACCTCAAATGCCTAAAGGATAAATTTGTGTATGTTCCTTTATTCTTTGTACTCTTGTGGCAATATGGCAAGCGAGAGTACCCTTCCTGCAGTCCAGGAAGTAAAAATTGCATTGCTGAAAGATCCTTTGTCTCAGTACTAATTTTTTTTTTTGTGGCACTGAGCATCTATTTCCAAAATTTATTTCCAACATCAGCCCTCTACAGCAGCCTCTCTTTCATATGCCCTCTGTGGCAACCTCTCTTTCAACTATAGGCCCCTCTTTTCTTACCGTGATTCTTGGAGTATGCTGCACAGAAAGTTGTCTTGCAATCTCTCTTCAGGTTCCTATTGCGCTGATGGGTATGCCTTGGGATGTGGGCGAACCAAGCCCTTGTTCTGGAAAAGCTCTCATGTCAACACACCTAGGAACTGGATCTCCCAAATCCCGGGGCCAAAGCCCCACAGGCAAAGGAGATAGTAAGCCTGTTGTATCTCTCTCCTGGCTGACTCACCAAATGTTGTAGCAGAATTACAACCAAAGAAGATAAAGAGACCAATGGAGACTGAAGAGAACTTTAATTCAGGTGCCCAGACTAGCAGCAGGCTCATGTCTAAAATGGCCACTGAAACAAATAAGGCAGTTTACCTTATATGCAGTTTGAGGCAGGAAAACAAGGCAGGAACTAGGTTTCAAACATACAGAGTCAGTCAGGTTTTACAATCTTGGGCTTCATGGTCACTTGACTCCATAACCTTGCAGCTGAGGTAGGGGGTCAAAAGTTGGGGAGGACACCCAAGGAGATCAGAAGAACAGAAAATGCAGAAGTATGTGTGGACTGCAAACGTAAAGATACATTCAGGTGCTCTTACGTCTCTAGAGAGAGGGAGGTACCAGATCTGCTTTGCCTCTACATTTTTCTAAATACAGCTTACAACTAAGCTGGAATGCAAGATATGCTTGCAGCTCCAGCTTGTAAGTTTCACTAGGGAGAGGTTACTTAAATTCCTTGGCCTTTTTATAACTCTTAAATGACCTTTACTTAAAATTAACCACTACCTGTGTTATGCTTATTGTTTAAACTATATTTTGTTCTATTTTATTTTATTTTCCTTCCACATAACCATTGGTCAAACCCGATCTGGCCTCAGGCTGCACTTCTCATGGAGTTCATAACCAAAATCAGGTTGGTCACTCAATTTTAGGCCATACCCAGGGGCTCAGGTTTCAGAAGGTCTTTACTATCTCTTTACCTTACAAATCAACGTGGGAGCATAAGCACTAGTAGAAAAACCATACCTTAATGTTGAAAGTAAACTTTCCTAAGCTGCTCCATTCTCTGTGGAGAAAATGTTTCTAAATTGCATTTGATGGTAATAGCCCTAGCTGTCCAGAGACAAGGGCTTGACTTCATGACTGACCAGGTGGAGACTGGGCAGCCACAGGGATATCTCTGCTAGTATTGTTTTCTGTGGCTCTGTTCAGAAGCAGAGATAAAAACACATTGCTCTACCAGTTTCAGGGAAACACCGTCCCACTTAGCTCTGAATCCCACTCACGAATGCCCAAATCATTTTCATAGTGATGGAATAGAATCCTATGCTTAAGAATTTCGGAGCTCAACTTCCACTTCTTGGTCAAAATTAGTTTTGTTACTTTAAGTATGTCAACATACATTTGCACATAATTACATTTTTCTTGGAGGAATTTCAGTATCTGCCCTTTCCTGCCATAACTGCCTCTTGTACAACGGTAGATCTTTGTATGATAGAGGTCATGGCTGGGGATTCACAGTGTATTCTTTGTTATATTAACAAAGATAGGAGCTAGGAGGTAAGAAACAGATTCCTAAAAAGCTCTGAAGATGCCTATCAGGGTAGGAGCAGAGGGATTTTTTTCGTTGTTGTGGTTGTTTTGTTATTTTTCTAAACTGGGAAGGCTTCCTCTCCTCTGTCCAAAGACTGTCCTCAAAAATGCTTCATCTTGGCCGGGCGCGGTGGCTCAAGCCTGTAATCCCAGCACTTTGGGAGGCCGAGGCGGGTGGATCACAAGGTCAAGAGATCGAGACCATCCTGGTCAACATGGTGAAACCCCGTCTCTACTAAAAATACAAAAAATTAGCTGGGCATGGTGGTGCGTGCCTGTAATCCCAGCTACTCAGGAGGCTGAGGCAGGAGAATTGCCTGAACCCAGGAGGCAGAGGTTGCGGTGAGCCGAGATGGCGCCATTGCACTACAGCCTGGGTAACATGAGTGAAACTCCGTCTCAAAAAAAAAAAAAAAAAAAGCTTCATCTTCTGTGCATAGTTATAAAATACACCACTTTCACAGCCATTGAGAGAAAGGCCCATGCTGTATCATGGAAGACAAATGCTGTGTTTTCCTAGCCCCTAGTGTAAGTGTCTTCATATAGGAGACCTTTACAGATGCTTGGGGAACTGGTTATTGCCTCTATCAAGCTGCATAATCTTTAAGAACTTCTGCTAAGGAGGAACTTCAGCTTACTTTGTTTCATTGTGGCTCATTGAAAGCACTTGATAAACAAAGTAACACAGAAATACAGGGCTATGCTTTTGGTGAGCTATCATGTGCAGCATGTGATGAATGAGTCCTACAGGTGGAAACCAGGATGTCCCCATCACATGGATGTGAACTCTGTTTACAGTCAGCAGGCATTCTGGACTTAACTGACACTCCAGGTTAGGGTTAGGGTTTTTTACACTGAACTGTGGATAGCTCAAGAGCTCTGCTCATCCTGAGACCAACTGGAGTGCACTAGTGCTTCAAGGACAAGTAAAAGCTCCACTGTTTGGGGCAGTAGATGTTTGTGAACTGAGATTACATCCCTGTTACTGATAATAGATATAAATGGTGAATAATTTTGTTTCCTTGCCCTTAAATTTTAGTCCAGGTTAATTCACTAGTTCTCTTAAAATAGGTATTATTTTCTTATATTGAATGCATATTCTCTATAAAACTTGTTCCACTTATTCCCATGTTCTCAGTTTCAACGTTTTTCTTACTTGGCATTTGAAAGGGTACAAGTCATTGTGTTGCTTCTGGGGAAGAAAAAATCTTTTAGGTATTGTACCACCACCAGTGCTAGTGAAGGCAGTGAGTGATGTATTTCTTCACGATGATATTTTTCTAATATGGACAGCAGATAAAAGTCAACTGTCCTTCCTGATGCTACCCTGCATGGCCTACAGCCTTCAAGATGTAATCCCTACCCCAGCCCCTCCTCCCTGATGATGCCCCCTCCCCATTTCCCGCTTTCTCAGATGGGCCCCC